TTAACATTTTCCAATTCTTGTTGTTAAACTATATTGAATCAAAGCAGATGAATATTCATCTCCATGTATTTGTGTTGTCCATCCACACATTCATTTATTTATTTTTCTGTTTTTGATCTTCAGTATTGCTATTTTAGATTTTTTAAAACTAGATCTAGTTTTTTATCTTTGAACTTGGAATGAACATTTGTTGTTCCTGCAACAAACTGATGCTTGGCAAATAATCAAATGTTAGTATATAAAAAAAAATCTCAAGATGTTTATAAACTGCCACAAGAAAACTTTCCAAATAGATTTAGATAACTTATTTGATATCACACATGCCAAGTGATAAACAGTTTGACAAATAGTTTGGTGAAAAACAAATATTAGGCATTTACCAAATAGTGAATGTATGGATGCACTCTTAGGGAGAGGTTCAGTGCATGCCTTCACATGATGAAGTTTATCATTTTAATTCAGATTACAAGGAACTCAAATGTTAATCTCGCAGACCTTTCCAACATCAGGTAAGTGGTTAACTATGGTAGAATGTTCACAACCAAATGTCATGCTCATTTCTCTCATGATCAAGAATGGGTTGGTTTCCACCAACTGCTGCAGCTTGTTATTCAATAAGATGGAAGGCCTTCTAGAGCATAATTTATCTTCATATTGCCAGCTTTAAATTTACTGAATCAATCATTGATTGTAGACTTGGAGACTACATTCTTGCCAAATGAATGCACCATATGATGATAAGATTCTGCTACTTTTATACCAAATTGTTAATCATAAAGTGCACACATGCAAATTTGATCACATGAAAGCATTGGCAAACCTGACATATTTAAAAAAAATTTCTAAAAAAATAATTCAGTGTAAGAACTGAAGAACTAAGAAAACAAACAGGGTATATAATACAAAAGTAAAAAAAAACTGACAAGAGAAAAACTCAAGGAATACTTTAGACACTGTTTCTTATTTCAAAATTTGAATATTTTAAACAATCCTATAGTAACTCATTTTATCTATCTGATTTTTAGCAGCCAAACTCAATTGAATGCCAGTTAAAAAATCTTTTTATGTCAGTGTATATTTGTGTTAAAAATGTTTATTTTAAATAATTACAATATATATATTCTAATTATTTAAAATAAACATTTATATATATATATATATATATTAGAATGTCCCTTATTTTTCGAATTTTTTTTCCTAACACATATGGTCTAGTTTTGTTTATTTTACCCTTAAATACGTGCACAATAAATTTCAGCTCATTTTGGTCACTAGAACCGTGCCAACTTGCATTGAATCATGTCCATACATGTTGTGCTAGAGAAGTGGCGCATATTCACTTTGATTGCCATTCTAACACAACTTGTTGGGCTATTAACACGTATAGTTTTATTTTTCAAAGATGTCAGTGGAATTATGAAGTGCTAAAAAAACATTTTCTTAGTCAGAGAGATAAGCCACCAAATCACAGGTGCAAAATTACCATCAAATTGGCAAGTACTCACAGTTTTGTTTTTTAACATTTGTGAAGTTAGATTAACTGAGTGAAAGCACAAATCTTGCAATACGCGAGTGTATCATATTTTGGGAAAAAGTTAGAATACCTACAAAATCTATACCTAACTGTTAAGAAATTGGTGAATATTCATTATGTATGGAGAGAGTTGGAAAAAAAAATCTCAAGATGTTTATATACTGCCACAAGAAAACTTTCCAAATAGATTTAGATATCTTATTTGATATCACACATGCCAATGCCCTCAAACATATGACAACAGAGGAAGATTAAAAATTCTTACAGAAACAGAGAGAACCGAGGCATCCGGACTGCTTGGCGGGTGTATATAAAAAATTGGCTGAAACAGAAGAAAGAGCAAGGCAAAGAAAAATAGAAGTAGAGAGAAAAGGTTCAAAAATATTTCTATGAAGGTTGCATTGACTTCTTCAATATTGCATGATTTATCACCACTCCAGGAACTATATGACAGTTCTCATAGCTCTGACAATAGTCTGGATGAGCTTTTTTCTCAGGAATCGAATGCAGTGCCATCTGAAGTTAGTGTAAAAAGAGAAAGAAAGGATTTCATTACACCTAAACTAGTTGCAGCTTTAGACAGATGCCAGTTGAGCATTAGAGATTCCGTTTATATTCTTCATACTACAGTGGAAGCACTAGGGGCTTGTATTGATGAATTTTCAATCAACAAATCTTCACTTCAATGGATTCAGACACAAGTGAGGAAGGACAGAGCAGAAGCCATAAAATCCGATTTTCAGGATGATGTGCCAGAAGTAGTCACCATTCATTGGGATGGCAAATTGTTACCTGGCTTGAACGTTAGAAGTTCTAAAGAAGAGCTCCTACCAATTCTTATTTCATTCAGAGAGAGGGAACAACTGCCTGCCATACCAATACTGGACAGTTCTTCTGGTAAACACCAAGCCAACGCAGTTTCAAATGCACTCTATGATTGGAATTTAAATGACGAGGTACAAATAATGTGTTATGACACAACAGCGTCCAATATGGGGTCACTTAAATGGAGCTTGTATGCTATTAGAACAAAAGCTAGAAAGAGAGCTGTTACTCTTTGTGTGAGACCCGAAAGGCCCTGGGTCTAATTTATGAATTTTTATTGATAATGTTTAAATATCGACACAAAATATTACTTCGTTTTGGTGAAAAAAACGAGTTTTAGACGTGGGAAAAACCAGATAGCAGATGTTATTTCCTTTCACAGAAGAGAACATCCTCTGTTTTTTCCGTATCTGGTTAAAAATCTTGCTCAGATGGGAAATGGTTACCCCTCCTTCACCCCCCTTTCATCCGTTCTCATGAAAGAGTTTCTGGCCGATGATTGGTCGAAATTCAGGAGATATAAGGGAATTTAGTCCAAATTCGGGGAGTTCAGCGACAGATCCGAAAGCATACAAACTCAACATACGTTTCCCTCCCGTTGACCAACGCCCTAAACGGAGTCCCATAGACTAAGTCCCGAGTCTATACGTAAAAGTGATATTTTTATATTTTGTGCACGAATTGATCTCCCATATGAAAGTAATATGAACTCTATCTACAAGGTGTCCTTTACCTGCAGAAACGAAGACGACGACAACTAAACAGGTCGTATGTTTAGAATCATTTTGTGAGCTCTCTCTCTCGAACGCGCATTAGCATAGATTAAGTCGTAGCCTCTAGCTTGTCGCTTAATTGTTGTTATCGATTATTTGTATTTCGTTTTGTTTTTGGCTTATTAAATTTACTCTTGTTTTATTATATAAAAAATGTTTCCTCAAATTTATTCCGAATCAGATCGCAAACGCGTGTTAGTCCGCGTATAATAAGTTTGATTAACTGGTGTCAAGGAATCCTGACGAGGATCTGAACTTCGCCGTTTCAGATCAAGTTTAAATACGCTCTCCTGTGTAAACTTTTTACGATCGGATCTTACGATTCGAAACTCGGAGAACTATTCTCACGGAATAGGCCGATTAAGTGGTACAACTCCGCTAAGGATCGTTAGTACCCCCGGCTGATCTCACATTTGCTTGCCGCCATCATATATATGAGCTACAAATGCGCATTGATTTTGTAAAACAACATTTCAATGATGCGGAAATTGATCAATTATTATCTTTATATGTGAGAAAACTTCAAAAATCTATTGAGAGAGATGATTATCACAAATTAGTTGAGTTATCTATCATATTTTTGGGGGAAGATAAAGAAAAAACAAAATTAAACTCAGGCCTCTGGGTGCAATGCATCAAGCAAGATGGATGGCTAAAGTTATTTACTCTTTGAAAGTATGTTTGCTGCAGTCTCAATTCAGAATGAATGCAAAGGACAAACGAGCATTACAAGAAGTTTGCTTATTTATTGTAACAGTTTACGTAAAACCCTGGCTTGGATGTGATTTGGCAGTACAGGCACCATATCAAGATTTGTGCTTTTTAAAAACATTAAAAGAATACAAAAAAGTTGACAAATTAATTTCCCAGGCAGCTTTGACCAAGTTTTGTCCACGCTTGTGGTACTTATCCAAAGATATAGCCATATTATCACTATTCAATGATTTAGTCAATGAAACAACCAAGATGAAAATACTAGCTAACTTGGAATGGGAAAGTATATCCGATTTTGGGAAAAGGTTTATTCCATCAAAAGAAGAAATAGCCAGCTCTTTGTATTGTATGTAGAACTACATGTTTTGTTTATACTTTAATTATATCTTACTTAAACTATACCTACTTTTTGTTTCAGAAAAAACCTTGGATTGTTTTATGTCTAGGAAGAACAAAAATCTGTTTACTAGGTTAAAAATTGTAAGCAATTTCCTTTAGGAAAGTGAGGAAAGTGTTTCTTCATGGGAAGAAAATGCTTCTTTTGTACAAGCTAAAAGAAACATTCTTTCTCTCAAGGCAGTTAATGATACAGCTGAAAGAGCTGTTAAATTAATGCAAGATTTTCATGGGTTAATTACCGCAGATGAAGAACAGAAGCAGTTTCTTTTACACTGTGTGCAAGAACACAGAAAACTGTAAAGAAAATATCCACAATAATTTACATTCATACAAATTTTAAATATTCTTTGTTGTCTGATTTCCTTATTTACCCAATTATTTAATATTACAATGATCTAGTCATGCATGTATGTATGTATGACAATGATATAGTTGAGTGATAGATAGAAATGACTTTATAAAAACTTTGAGACTTAGTTGGCAGAGGTTATCGTTGTCATAGGGGATCAATATTTTGTAAATAAGTAAGCAAGTCTTAGTGATTTGAAAGGAATTAAGGAATACGCATTTAAAAATTTGAAAAAAAAATCTCTCTCCATATAAGGGACACCCTTATATATATATAGACTAATTGGTACAATGTACCATCTTGAATAATATATTACATTACATTCTATACTTTCAAAAAAATAATTAAAATCACAAAATATTCTCAACATAAAAATTGAATAAAAAAAATTTGGAAATGTATTTACAATTATCTTGGTCCATGATCAGCAACTGCAATCCCATGTTGTTGCAAATGGGCTCTTAACATCTGATTTTCATTTTTTAATTCTTCACATTGCTGCCTTAATAATTCAACTTCTACAGATAAACGTTCTTTGTCTTTTAATATTTCAGGCATTTTTGAATTAATGTTTCTTAGCTCCTGAATATAATCACATGCTTTTGCTAAAATTCCTCCTTTACTCTGAAAAAGAAAAAAAAAAAAACAAAAAAAGCAATGAAAAGCTATGCTGATTATTCTCTAAAAATATAATTTAATATTTTCATTATCTGATATTTCAATATTGATTTCAAGTCAAATTATACACATTTTACAATTTATAATTCATATATCTATTTTTCCTTCTTTACAAAACTGACAATGATTATGATTATTGAATAAGTTACTTCTGAACAATTGATAATATAGTCTTGGATATAAATACTATAAATAAATAACAATAAAATTTTTAAATATATTTTTTGTAAATTGATATTTTAAACTCAGTATTACCTGGTGAATCTGATATCAGATCAATTAATTTAATAACTGAAAGTATTTCAGAAAATGCTTATTAATTGGACATTCTTCCTGCTCCTTAGGTGGCATGAAGAATGTCCAATTAATAACTAATTTCCTGCCAGATAGTGTTTCAGCAAGACAGTATATTCCCTCACTGGGCAGTTTCCTTATGTAATTTGCTTAATACAGTGTTTCCTGAACAATTAATTGGCCATGGGACTAAAACCCTAGTCCTCTAGATTGCTCAGCATAACACCACTGGATATCTTTTTGTGGGATTATGTGATGTAATGTTCTGTTTTGAATGAAAAGATAGCTCTTACAAACTCTAATGTTACACAAAAAAATGCTAAACAACACTTTGCAACAAATCAGTTACTGAATAGACATTCTTTGTGTAACTAAAGGAGCACATGTTGAGGTTCACTGAATGTACACAAAACACCTTTGAATTATTTTAATTTTGTAATGTAATAGTAATTCATATAAAATTTTGTTTATTTAGGAACTAAAATACTGATTGAAATTACTGACTAAATTTCTGTTTATATTTTTAAGTGAATGCATCTAATATGAAAACTAATAATTAAGTACAGCATAGACACTATTACTTTCAAAGAATATTCAAGAAATTTGTTTAAAATTTCATTGTCTTATTTGTATCAATCAATAAATTGTAAAAAGTCTAATTTGAACGTTTATTGAGAAAATTTATTTAGGAAAGCGATTAAAATTCCATGCTTAATAAAAAGCAATGCTAAAATTATAGTATTATAGTAGTAATAATTATAATAGTCAAGCATTATTATTTATTTACAAATATGAAATTTATTTAATTATTAGAAAATGGAATAACTCTTATTCAAGGTTTATTTATTGGCAATTCCACAACATACAGTGGTGCCTCGTATAATGTACGCCTCAAATAACAGACGTTGCGAACAACGGACTTTCTGTTTGGCCGTTACGTGACTCAAGCAACAGACTGGCTGCGAACAACAGACTTTCCATTCGGCAGTTACGTTAGGTGAACAATGGACTTTCTGCGAACAAGTGCGAATGACGTTTTCACTCTTTTGCTGTTGCCAATGACAATCTGCTATTTTAAAAATATATTATTAGTATATCTGAAGTACAGAGCTCCCGTTGGGATTCAGCTTGCTCTCTTGTTTATTATGTACAGTACATCACCTCAGTGCAGGGGGGTATTTACATTTATTCAAGTGTTGTGCAAATCATGGATTCTAAAAAAAACAGAAAGGTGATTTCAATTGAAACAAAGCAAGAAATCATCAGGAGTGAAAGTTGACAAAAACTTTCTTGTCGAATGGGGAGAGGTTCAGGAGTTTACCAACACTCATTATCCAAACAGAGCTGAGGCCAACAGGATCAATGATCTCTACGATGACACCTTTGTCCGTCATTTCCGACAGGTGTTAAAGAAGAAAGAGAAACAGACCACCTTGGTCATGTTTTTCAAGAAGCCAGCGGGCAAAAAACAAAGGATGGAACAAGAGAAGTTGACCCTGCAAGTTCCGGTAGCCTCTCCTGAATCTGACTCCGATTAAAAAACAATAAAAAGAGACCTGCTGCAATGTGTAAAAAGTCTGTATCTGTATGAATGTGTGAATAAAGTGATCCTCCACCTCCTCCTCACAACATCTGACTACCCGGCATAATTGGCGACTTCTCCATTTTCATTTTTTTTTTTTTATGGTACAGTATGGTTATTTTGTGCTGCGGAACGAATTATATGTTTTAACATATATTTCTATGGGAAAATGCGTTTCATATAACAGACTTTTCACTTAACGGACGTTCACCTGGAACGAATTAAGTACGTTATATGAGGCACCACTGTACTTAATATTTTATAGTTAACTTATATGATAGAGAGAATTAAATAATTGTAAAACAGATAAATTAACTTTCCAATCATAAATGAACATAGACTGCAATAATTAGTAAAACCTGTCTAGAATGAAACCTGCATGTATGCATAATTTTTACAAAACAGCAATTTTCTATGTTAAATTTTACTATAAGCTAGAAAACTAACATAAAAATAGAACTTTTTGGATAAGACAAATATAGCATAACATGAATAAAGCAGAGAATCCACTTGTTGATGATAAATAAGTATAATCATCTCCAGCTACAACAGTCATCACAAACTATATTCTGAGAATAGTTCAAATGTTTTCAGCAAATGAAAACCATATAAAGAGGAAATATATACAAACACACAAGATTTCTGTTAATGTTAATGTCATTCTTTGTTGGGACTGCTGAGACCACCTCACCTCCATTGTAGGTTGGTTGAACCCAAATGGGTAAAAAAAACAAGTGCCTACAGGGCAGGAAAAGTATGATAAAAGTCTGTCACAATTAAGCAGTAGCAAAATCAAATACTTTTAAGAATCAACTGAGTTTCTGAGAACCAAATTTTTGAAAATAAGTAACAAATTAATTTTTTGAAAACAGTGAGAATAAGGTAGTACAATGCTACCAACCTGTCTCATACTGACAACAAAGTAGTTAGTAACTAACTAAAATCAAGTATTTGAGAAAAAGTTGATTAACATTACTGTAACTACAGAAATTGAAGTTAAAAATTTGTTAGAGCAATTAATTAATTTATTAATTGATCAAGTTCACAATGGAAAAATCACTGATATTCCAAATCTGAATGCACTGGAACAACCTGAGTAATGTATATAGGGAAATATCAAATGAGAGTTTTTAAAAATAATGTTAAAAATTTTGTTTTGTCATGGCTTTGTTAAATCGACTTTTGGCTTAATATTTATTGGTTTTTTTTCTTGTTCTTTTTTTGTCTGTGGACACTTGAAAAAGGCCAAATGGCCACAGTGTCTTTTCTTTATAAAAAAAAATTAAGAAAGAAAGAATTAAAATTTGAGAAGTTAGATTACTGTAATACAGACAAAGTTGTTATGTGATTAGAATGTCTAACACCAGTTTAAGATACTATTTCTTTATTCTCAAACTGGCTTTGTTCACTATCATGTAAGCTCACAAGGATCACAAAGTAAAAGTATTTGAATATCTAGTACAAGTTCTCGGGGAAAACGAGAACTTTATAGAATCAAATAGTTCTCAATTCATGCATTTGAATACACCTATCTTTATTAGAATCACTTTGAATTAAATTTAATAATAAAATTATTACATATGTAAGATTATTTTACTAATAAAGTGAATGCAACTGTGTAACATTTAACTGGTATAGTTTATAGATTAAAAAAATTAATACTTTTCCCTGTTTTGAATAGGTTTTATTCAATACCATGCAATTCCAGTTATCACGTTTCACTGCTTTTTTAATTAAACATTCATCCTGAAATATTCCATTAACTGAAGCATTAGGAAATATATTTAATATTAAAAAACTATTGCTTCTCTTTCAACACATTTTTCTCAATAAGTACAGTTCAAATTAAAACATTGTCTTCTAAAATTTTGTTTAAAAACTTTAGAAACACTAATATATTTTGCTATATTACAATAGCTATTTTTGCAATATTTCATTAACAGTCTATATATTTACAAGCTATATATAACAGCTGTATTTATTATTATAAATATTTAAGTTTTTGATAAACTTCATGGATATATTTGAATTATTAATTATGATTAACTAATATATATTAGTTAATGTGTTATCAACTTTAATTATTAAAAAAATAAATAAAACTTTGGATAATAAAAAAAATGTTAAACTCTTGAAAAAAAAAAAAAAAAAAAAAAAAANCAAACCACTTCACGAGGCCATACAACGGCCGGCAGTCAAACCACTTCACGAGGCCATACAACGGCCGGCAGTCAAACCACTTCACGAGGCCATACAACGGCCGGCAGTCAAACCACTTCACGAGGCCATACAACGGCCGGCAGTCAAACCACTTCACGAGGCCATACAACGGCCGGCAGTCAAACCACTTCACGAGGCCATACAACGGCCGGCAGTCAAACCACTTCACGAGGCCATACAACGGCCGGCAGTCAAACCACTTCACGAGGCCATACGACAGCCGGTGGTCAAACGACTTCATGAGGCAATATGACAGCTGGCGGTTGGAGCCAACTTTATAGATGTGCACAAGAGGCCACCACTAGGATGTAAAACAACATCTTACGAAGCCAGGATAATTTAAACTTGAGTGAAACTACATTGGTTATAGCTACGTTGGGCGATCGGATGGCTCTGTATAGCCCTAATTAGTATGACTGCCAGTGCTTTGGATGATGGTTAAATGTGTTAAAAATTAGAACTCTTGATGTATAAGTCCTACTTTAACTATAAATGCATTATACAGTTAAAAGAATTTATTTTATTATCTTTAGACAAAATTTAATCTACACCACTTCCATGATTTATATATACATTATTTCAATTATAGTACTTACTTTATTCTGATATATACTTCCTCCACTAATTTGCAATGTTTATTAATTTAACTTTTAAAAAATTTTCCTATGGCTTTTCTAACAAATAAACAAAACAATAAATGAAACACATTTTATTTACTTTATCAGTATTGATATGTTTATAAAGACTATCACAAGTACAGTACCTAAAATTTGGAATTTAAAGCACTTCATAACAAACAAATCCACATTTTCAAACTGATTTTTCATTGTATAGCTAATACACAAAAACT